TGGGGGTAGGGTAGGGGGACCTGGAGCCACTGTCTCTGCTGGGTCCCAGCCCAGGGCCCTGTCAGCAGTAGGGTGGCTACAACTAGCTTGGTGGGGAATCTGCCCAAAACACGCTGAGCTCTTGGGGATCTAATTCTGTAGATTTATTAGGAAACCTGAAGGTAAGGTGGTCTTGGCCTTAAGGGCAAACCAAATCAGCCTTCACTCTGTTCAGGTGCTTACATGTGCCCCTTCATTATAGCATCTGAGTGCCTTACATCATCTTGATTGTTGAGAGACCTAGTAATGACAGTTGTTTCTCAGCTCCTGATGTGGGGGCCTCCCTGTTCACCAGTGCCAGAGCAAATCACTACTGCCATGTTGCTAGGTTTAATTGATTTACTGTTCTCATTTGTTCTGCAGTACACAAAAGCATGCAAAGTTTGAGTGTGTTGCACAGGGTTGCTGCCCTAAAGAGCTTAGTCTGTGACAGAGGGAGCTGCATCGCAGTGGGGAAGGAGAGAGCCTTGGTTGTTACATGTGGTTATGTGCAGCATGTTTGACTTGCTGGGGACCCCAGCAGTTACAAGCTGGGGACCAACCGGTTAAGTAGTAGTTCTGCAGAAAAGGACCTGGGGGTTACCGTGGATGAGAAGCTGGATATGAGTCAACAGGGCGCCCTTGTAGCCAAGAAGGCTAATGGCATATTAGGGTGCATTAGGAGGAGCATTGCCAGCAGATCCAGAGATGTCATTGTTCCCCTTTATTCGGCTTTGGTGAGGCCGCATCTGGAGTATTGTGTCCAGTTCTGGGCCCCCCACTACAGAAAGGATGTGGATGCATTGGAGAGGGTCCAGCGGAGGGCGACCAAAATGATTAGGGGGCTGGAGCATATGACTTATGAGGAGAGACTGAGGGATTTGGGTTTGTTTAGTCTGCAGAAGAGAAGAGTGAGGCGGGATTTGCTAGCAGCCTTCAACTTCCTGAAGGGAGGTTCCAGAGAGGCTGGAGAAAGGCTGTTCTCAGTAGTGACAGGTGGCAGAACAAGGAGCAATGGGCTCAGGTTGTGGTGGGAGAGGTCTAGGTTGGATATTAGGAAAAACTATTTCCCTAGGAGGGTGGTGAAGCACTGGAATGGGTTACCTAGGGAGGGGATACAATCTCCATCCCTAGTAGTGTTTAAGTCTCGGCTTGACAAAGCCCTGGCTGGGTTGATTTAGTTGGGATTGGTCCTGCCTAGAGCAGGGGGCTGGACTTGATGAGCTTCTGAGGTCTCTTCCAGTTCTATGGTTCTATGATTCTATGACTTATATGTGGATGATAAGGAAACTGACTCTACTTGAAGGTGTTAAAAGTGATTCCCAAAGGATGGGAGAGTGTTAGGTTGGCAAACCAGTACAGGCAGAGCATTCTGTGTACAGGGGAGAGTGTAGAAAAAGGTGCAAAACCTGCTGAGGGATAAGCCAACAAGCAGGTTGCTTAGGCTGATGTCACTGGCTAAGTGAGACCATAAACAGTGGGTAAGAGAGCACAGCGGGTAAGAGAGTAAGGCTCTGACTCCGCAAGTAGGAAACTGTGCAAGTCATCCCACTGAAGTCAGGTTATGGTCTAAGAGGCAGAGTCATGCAGCATCCTGAAGGTGAGGACAAGAAGCTAGAGATTGTTGCAGTAGAGAAGCGGGGAGCCATGAAGAGATTCAAGGAAGCGGGTGATGTGGTCTGATTGCCAGGATGGGAAGAAATATCTTGGAGGCTTGTGTTCATCTGGAGTGGAAGCAAGCACTGTGGGTGTTGAGGAGGCAAGAGAGAAGTTACTGTAATCAAGAGGAATGCATGGCCTTTTTAGGTTTTGACAGTGTTAAGAAGTCTGTTGTGTTTTCCTTTTATAAATCAACTCTGATTCATCCTGAGTAAATGAATGCTTTTGGCTGGGTTTCTCTTGATATATTTAACTTTTAGATATGATTGTTGGTGGCTTTTTTCAGGGGAACACTGAGAGAACAGTCTGGCAATATCACTTCAGAACCTGGCCTGATCATGGAGTACCCAGTGATCCTGGTGGTGTCCTGGACTTCTTAGAGGAGGTCCACCACAAGCAGGAAAGCATTGCTGATGCAGGTCCTGTTGTGGTACATTGCAGGTACAATAATGTAACTTATCTCCTAGCTTCCACTATAAGCTTCTTTAAGAGTTAAACATTTCATTCTGAAAAATGCCATTTTTTCCTGGGTATTTGGCTACCTGAGAAAACAACTTGAAGTTTGATGGATGAATAACTATGCACAAGTGTTTCAGATGTTGGGAAATGATGCATGCTAGCTGCCCTTCTCACAGGGTAAATATTGATATTTATTTTTCAGATGTGTGTGTGTCAGTGTATGTGTGGATGTGAGGGAGGGTTTCTATATGGGGTTATAGGAAGAGGGATGACGTTGTGCTTCTCTATAAACCAAGTATGTTTACTAAACCCTAAATTGAGTTGTGCCGTTCTGTTGTACTACTTTTGTTTTCTCCAGGTAAATCAGTCTTTGTTTCTAGTTAAGCACTTCTAACTATTTGGCCAGCCATAGCTCAGTTCCATTTGTTTGATAATGCCATCTGGAAGTCTGGTACGTCTTTACATTGGACACTTAATTAGGTTGGGCTACTGTGACTTTATTGTCTATTCAGAAAGGAAACCATAATCATTTTCTTTTTTGACAGTGCTGGGATTGGGCGAACAGGAACTTTCATTGTGATTGATATTCTTATTGACATAATCCGATTAAAAGGTAGGTCCTCAGTTTAGTTTCTTCACTAGTACTGTGAAAGTGCCATTGTAGGATCTGTAAGGAGACAATTGGTGAAGATCAGGCAGAAGCTGCACAGTGTACGTTTGTACTTGGGAGATATCACATCCCTTTCCCATTTACTTCAATGGCAGTCATATGGCCAAAGCCTGGGATGAGGATTTTGCATCTCACCTACAGTGATTTTGTAAATTCCGCAGTTTTTGCTGGCATACCTGCTTTTTGCCAACACCTTTATTCTGCCGCTATCCATTTGTACTTTCCATTTGCCATCTTTGCTGTCCAAAATATTGTACAGGCAGTCCCCGGGTTACATGGATCCAACTTACATTGGATCCCTACTTACAAACGGGGTGAGGCAACCCCGCACTAGCTGCTTCTTCTTTGAGTGCTTGCTCATGTCCATTCTGATTAGGTGTACGCGCACCGCGTGCACGGATTCCGGAGCTTTTTTTCCCTTAGCAGTACCCATAGGGCCAGCAGGGAGCCCCCTGGAGTGGCGCCGGTATACCGGTGCATATATACCCCTGCTGGCCCCTCCACCCCCTCAGTTCCTTCTTACTGCCCGTGAAGGTAGCTGGAGCATGCTTTCAGGCTGTTAGCCTATCTCTTAACAGCTTATCTCTTATCCGTTCGCAGTTGAAGTTTCTTTTCTAGTTAAGTAGTTGTTAAGTACTGTAAATAGTTATTTAGATAAGGGAGCAGTGGAACCCTCCCGCGAGGGGAGGGCATGCCAGGGCCCCAGGGCTTCAAACCCTGTGCCTCCTGCTCCAAGCCTATGCCCTGCGGAGACCCTCATTCTAACTGCCTTAAGTGTCTGGAAGAGGCTCATCGAGCTGAAAGCTGCTCTATCTGCAAGAGCTTTAAACCCAGGACTAAGAAGGAGAGGGACTTCCGACTGAAACTCCTGCTAATGGAGTCGGCACTGCAGCCTCAGGGCGAGGAGCGGCCTCATTTCGCCCGCAGCGCACGGACGGCGGCACCGTCGGACAGCAGGGCACCGAGACGCAGATCGCA